GTGGGTGCAACAGCCTAAGCATAAAACCCAAACCTCCCACACCCCAGCTTATCCAGTGGAACACCATCTGACAGATGTAATCTCTCCAGTTTGTCTTGGGTCTACCCCGGGACCTCCTCCCGGTGGGGACTGCCTGGATCACCTCACCCAGGAGGCATTCCAGTCAGATGCCTGAACCATCTCATCTGGCTGCTTTCGATGTGGAGGACTAATGGCTCTACTAGTGAACTCCTCAACCTATCTTCAAGGAAGAAGCCACCCTTTGGAGAAGTCCCATACGCTCAAAGTACCCCCACAGGATACTCAAAAGGACGCCGTCAAATGCCTTCTCCAAGTCCACAAAACAGGAGGGGAGAGAGCAGGGGTCTCAAACTCCAGTCCTCGAGAGCCGGTGTCATATAACTTTTTCATGTGTCCCTGTTGCAACACACCTGAATAAAATTAGTAGGTCATTAGCAGGACTATAGAACTTGGCTGCATGCTGAAATGGCAACCCCTAACCCTACTCAAGTAAATTTAAGTAAATGTAAGTGTTTGGAAAAATATACTTCTAAAAGGACTTTCATTGCACCATGTTCATTCACTCATGATATGCTGTAACATGAATCAAATGGCTGAATTGCCACCTCAGCATGCAGTCAGGTGCTATAGTCTATGGAGTTTGTTCTACCTGTTCTGTCTTTGGGTTTTCTCTGCTGCTCCGGCTTCCTCAAACAGTCAAACACACACGTGCATGTTCGGTTCGTTTGTGGTGCTAAATTGGCTGTACATGGGAGGTAGATAAATGTACTTTTTCACACAGGCCCAGGTAGGTTTGGTTAACTTTCCCTTTAATAAGTTCAATCCTCATTTAAAACTGTGTTCTTTATTTACTGTGGTCATTTTTGTCTAATAGTAAGTGTAACAAATATGCAAAAAATGAACAAATCGGGAAGGGGCATACATTTTCATGGCATTGCAAAAACCCTACAATATTAGACAGAAAACCTCAACATCTGACATGAGCAAGTACCAGGTGACTGTGGGACAGAAAAAAAACATTTTTACAGAAAGAAACATCTGGCAGAGCCAGGCTCAGGGAGGGGTTGCCATATACAGCAGCTTCTCATACATACAACACTGAAATGATTGACTATATTTAAATGATTGTTTTACATAATATGTGCACATTGTTATCTGTTTCTATCTAGAATGTATAACGTGTCCCTGAGTCCATACTTTGTGCCCATCTTTGGTGGACAATCCTTGTTCATCTGTTCACCTGACGACAAGGGTGGAGGACGCTTTTGCAGTGATGTGCCGCCCTATCAGGAGCATGGCAAAATCTGCACACTGGCAGCAGACGAGCCGATCCAAGCCGGCCAGTGTGTAAACTGGAACGTGTACTACAATGTATGCCGTGCTGGGGACCACAACCCTGACTTGGGAGTTATTAACTTTGATAACATCGTCTATGCCTGGATAACCATTTTCCAGGTAAGAAATTGTTGATAGGCACAGAAAAACATCTGGATTATGTCGACCTCTGTATGGCAGTTCACTCAAAGATTCAAAATTCATAAAACAAATGCATTTTCTTTGGCATGTAGTGCAGTTTATCTGTTCATCTGCCTGCTGTTTTGCCATCTGTAATGTAGAGGGATAGTATTTATGTCTCTCTGCTCCCAGGTTGTGACACTTGAAGGATGGACCAATATCATGTATTATGTTATGGACTCTTGTTCCTTCTGGAGTTTTGTGTTTTTCATACTTGTCACTATTGTAAGTACCCACACCTGTTAAATCATTTTTATTATGTATTCAATAACAAGTATTGACGTGCCTGTCTGGAAACCAAAACCACTAAATCAGACATCAACCCTTCATAGTTGGTTGTGCAATTTCCCCAGAAACTCTATAGCTTATTCTTCATCTCCTCAACTAGATTGGCTCCTTTATCATAATGAATGTGTGTACAGTCATCATTGCAACCCAGTTCTCGGAGAACTTCGCAAGAGTCACAACAGAGCAGCATGCTGGTCCTCTGTCTTTTAAAAATCTCTTCAGGAAGTTTGTTTCCTTCCTGAAGATGATGACCACCAGGTAAGAAAAGTACTGTGGCTTTAAAATCTAGACTTTGTTGTGTTTGAGGTCAGATTTGTAGTTTACAGGGTGTAAAAGTATGTAAGACTGTGTCAGGTATGTAGTTTTAAAAGTATTACTCATTTCAGGCTAGGTAAAAAAAAAAAGTTGAGCTTTCTTTACAAATGGAAGTAAAAAGAAGAAATATTTAAAAAAAAAGAATACAGAAAGTACTAGAAGAACATAGGTCACAGCTTAGGTCAATGAGGTCCTTTTGTTAGCTATGAACAATTTTTCACGTGCTGTGTGTTTACATCATAACAGGGTGCATCCCATCAAGAGCTCAACACATGTCAAACCCACACTGGTAAGACCAGTTTGCAACTGGGTGCAGTAACATCAGTCACAATAGCTGTTTGTGATTCGCCTAACCAACTGTCTCATCTTCCAGCATCAGGTCTGGATCCGTTTCAAGGAAAAGTTTAACATTCTTATCAACACTAAACTCTTTAAGCAAATCATCATTATGGCTATTTTCATCACTATTGTTACCATGGCGATAGAGCACTACAACCAGGTGAGACATGTTTGCGATTATTTATCACATAAATTTGATCTCAGTGATATAAGAAGCTTGCGCTAACTGTTAGATTAAGAGTAAGAAGAGATAAGAGGCTTCATTAAAAAAATCTATATTTACTTTTGCATCTAATCATGACTCTTCCCTTACGTTCATGCATTTAAATGATTCTTATTTCTCTTGTCTGTGTGTGATTCTGTTTTCTTATTTATTTCCATTTTCTCCTCCTGCAGCCTCAGGAGTTGACGCGAGTATTAATTGTCAGTAACATAATTATTACCATTATATTTGTGGTGGAGATGATAATAAAGTTGATCGCCCTCTCGTGGATGTACTTTGCGGACCTTGACAACATCTTCAACTTTGTGGTTGTTCTCACCAGGTATAAACCTTTATCCTTTGACTTTGAAACTTTGCTTATTGTTTTATTGCGTCACATTCACAAACATTTCTTTGTTTCTTCAGGGATTTCTCAAGTTTAAATAAATGTAACTTTATTCTCGCTCTTCTTACTTTTGTCATTTTTATTTTTCATATAAATATTTCTGAAGCCACATCCTAGTGTTTGTATCATGTTAGATGTATTTCCAACAGGTCAGACTAATGATATCAGTATAATAAAACATCATCTCAGCATACGGTTATTAGTCATTGTGGACAAAGTGGTCTGACAGAGCTGCACGTTAACGTGTTTGTTTGTGGTTTTCAGTTTATGGGAATTAGGCTCCAAAGCTGAGGGCAAGCTGTCAGTTGTTCGAGCATTTCATGTGCTGCGCTTCGTGAGGGTGTTTCACTTCCTCCCGTACCTGAAGAGGCAACTGCTGGTGCTGAAGAGGACGATTGGAGTGGCATCCACTCTGTGCTGGTTAATGCTGTTTGTCATTTTCATTTTTAGGTATGTATCCACACACCAAGAGTCTCGGTGTAAACATTTGTGAGCTCTAAGATGTTATATTCATAGACTGTATATAAACGATCGACGTTGTTTACTGGACTGAAAAGTAAAGCCA